TAGTATGCCCAACGGGATGAAAAATGTGTTTAAAAACAATTTTAGAATAAAATTGGCCAGCGGAGATGGCATTGCTTTTCACAATTGGAGTTCAATTTTTCAGAAATGTATCACAACAAAAAATAAAATGACAGACAGAGATTGAAACAGGGTGGTTGTGCAATTTGGAGGTGCCTCTGACAGAGGGGATTTCATTTAGCTCAACCAGATAGTTTTAAGGCTGATAAAATGAATTTGAAACCAAATGAAAAGAAACTGTCACCGAATTGAACTTGGATTACTTTCTGGAGATCTTTCAATACCTAAAACCAAGAAACTAATTAAATATATCTTCACCCAAAAAAAAAAAAAAAAAAAAAAAAAAAAAAGGATTTTTGGGGTTTGTTTGGAAGAACAGAAGCGCTCAGGGAGGTTTATTGCTGGAAGACTTGTGGCCTTAAGAGTTACCTTATAAAATTGCTAAAATCAAGGATGGGCAAGTAGCAGCATTTTCAGAAAACTGAAGCTGAGCTTATCACTTGCATTTGCTTCAGCTAAACAAAATGAAACTTAAACAGAGGCAATGTGTTTATAGACGGGTACATGACTGTAAGTCAGTGCAGTGGGTCTGTGAGTGCAGGTGTGTCACCCACAGCACGTGTGTGGGTTGCTTGGGCTGATCTTCCCTGTCTGTTCATGGTACCTGTAATTTAACTCCTGAACTCACCTGAATGTGCCAATTATACAGAATTTGGCTCCTGGGCTGTACAATGCAATTGAGGGAATGTTTACTGGAGAAGTGTCTGGGGTAGTTGTGTCAGTTCTGCTTTTGCTTAGTTGAACATGTATGTAATTCGTGCAGTGATAAATAACCTGTTAAGACTGGTAAATATCAGGCTTTTAATTAGTAAGTATATTAAGTAGATCATAAATAACTCTCAGCAAATCCGTGTAGAGTCCATCTTTATCTGTGCCATCTGAAACATGCACATTGCCATGGACAGTGCAGCCAGCCCTTTTTTTTAATCCGTATTGTGCATTTAGCTGAAAATCTGAAAGCAGAGCTGTGCACCCCACGTTTGCTGCGTGGTCTGAACTGGGTGGTTGAAGCAGACCAGACATTTCTTCCCACTTTATCCTGGCTCTGGTAAGGAAACCATGATCTCTGCTTGAACCTGACAAGCTCCAGGAGCTCTGGAAGATGGAGGTTCTTGTCTCTTTTGCCTGCTTTTAATGCTGAGTACAATCTGTTCTGGGACAAGATCGACTAGAATGCAAACAAGATAAGGAAAAATTACCTTTTTGTCCTTTAGTTTTATCTGTTGGAGGGAAGGTCGTGTGGGGAGTGGGTAGGAGAGTTAAATGTAAAGCTTTTGGTAAAGTGTATAAATGATGTATTGGCACTTTGACAAATCAACAGACTTCTGAGTGCTCTGATAATATTCCTGTGACACTTATGAATCAAGTTACTAATATTTTAAAATGAAACATTCTGTCTCATGTAAAATAAATGAAAAGCTATATTTCCCCTCATATAAAAGAGTTAAGTCCCAATGCTACTTCCTGTTGTCTTGTTTTCCTTAGTGTTGTAAGTTTGCTTTCTTCTTTCACATAATTTTTCCTCTGTTGTTTCATATATACCTTACTTGAAATCCATCTCACTATATACAGTGGTCTGGATCATTGTTTAATTTTAGAGTCTTTATCTGCTGTATTGAAAAAAATGAGAGGCTTTACTAGCTTACTATGGACAAAGAAATTATTTTTCCCTAATACAAATTTCTCCAAAGACCAAACCTTTTGAATATGATGAGTCAAAAAAAGAATTACTTTTCTGGGGTGTATTGTGTGATTCATATCATAAAGTTTCATTTTTAGTTTCACCTATAAGCTCATCATACCAAAGACAGGATGGAGAATTAAAATGTGACGTCTTTCCCTTATGGATGGCACCTATTTGGACAAAGAATGTCAACCAACAGAAATCTGAAAAAACGTGGTTAATTTGAACTATTAAGAAGGATTTACTTTTTATGGGTGTATTCACTTCTAATTGTTATGGTAACAAAGAATTTGGAAGTGTGCATTGATATATATGTATGTCAGATATGTATTTGCTGATCTAACGTGCTGACAACTGTGTTACTAAATAAGAAAATTGGATGCTCAAAAAGAAATACTTTTTTTAACATTGCATGACAGTAAAAGGGCTGAGTATATCACCACAGGTTTGCATGTCACGTATTTGGTTTATGCTGTGAATCTAGTTCTGCCTTGCTATTAATTTATATATAATCTTACTGTATGGGAATAGATACTGAAGGGAAGAATGCAAATTTTCTTGTAAAATGGTTTTTTTAACTGTGCAAAGGGACTGCAGGTGGGATGAACTGGAGGTGTCTGTGGTACAGGGCACAGGATTAGGACCTGTGAGTCCTGACTTTTCTTCCAGTTTAGTTTTCCCACTGCTGAGCCAGGAAACAGGGAACTGGCTTTGTAATTCTGCACCTCTGCTTTCCCCATTGGAGCCAATCAGTGCCCTTATAAAACACTTCACAACTGGACAGTTCTAGGTAAGAAGTTGTTCTAATTATTATTTTCTTTTCAAGAGACTTGCTACTCCACAGTAACTGCAGTCCAGATGAAGCTGTTATCTGTGGGATGCTGCAGGCTGCAGGATACATTTCATTTAACATCCACTTTTATTATACCTCGTACACTCAGCTGTATTTTTTTCTTTCTCCAAGGAGAAGTGATAGGGAACATAAGAATACAGGAGTGGTCTGGAGAGATAAGTGTATTGCAATTTATTCTTGTGTTGCTGGCACTGAACACTGGAGCATATTTACAAGTGGAATTTGCAGGGGAAAAAAGTTATTATTGTCTCCATCTGTAAGTAAAACTGGTCCAGTGATTTGGACTGCACCGATTTCAGTTCAGTTTCCCGTTCCATTGCAGGTTTCCTGTGTTTCCTTAGGCAAGTCCCTGTTCTTCCCAGTGCAATTCTCCATCTGTAAAACAGGAATAGTGCTGTTTTCCTATGGAACATGCACTGATTGTAGAGCTGGGCTCAGAGAGCTGGCAGGGCTCTGACTCTGCAGCCCATGGTAGGGCATGAGGCTCTGAGAGACAAGAGAAACTCCCAGAAATAAGTAAATGAGCTGAGTTTAGACTGTCTGTGCTGGGGTTGGAAGTCTGGAGCAGAACTAAGAGGTGAGGGAGACTTTCAGATGAAGAGTGCAGATTTTAGTTTCCATTTTTCGTTTTTAGTTTTCATTCAGAAATTTCTGATAAACTCTTGGACCCAGTTTTTTTGCCACTGCCCTGATACATAAAGTTACAGGTACAAAAAATTCATGCTAAGGTACACGTCATATTTTTTGAGGAAGAAAAAAGTGTAAATGATAAATTTGCTGGAAAAGCACATGGAGAAAAATAAAACTCATTTGATAAAATCAAATGCTTAGCATTTCCACAGAAACTGCTTTATAAATTATACACTTAACTTGAGAAATAATTTACCAAATAATACCACCTGTGTTTAACAATGGTCAAAATGTAGAACTTCTTTCCTAAGTAGCAGTCAAATGTTATTTGAAAGAGCTGATATACAGTATGTTAAATAGCAAAGATGCTGACACAGCCTTAACTGTAGTAGTTCTTCTAATTGCTGCACTAGGCCATGTTATATTACATCACATGGCATAATTTAGTGTGTCTTTCTTTGTCAATGTATTACCATTTTACAAATTACAGCTCTTTCATAGGAAGGTAATTCATACTTGGACATTGTGCTAAAATGATGGAGTGTTTTCCTTTTTTCTCAATCATTGATCTTTCAAACTTTTGCATTTAGCAGTATTAATCATGCTTATTAGCCAAGTGCTGTCATAAAAGAATGGAATTTCTCTGTTTTGAAGTCATGAACAAGAATCGCAATTAGAATAAGTAAATAAACTAGTGGGGTGCAGCAGATAGAGGCAGCAAGCAAAAGAAAACCATTTTAATTGAATATGAAAGTGACAAAGTCAATGCAGCAGTTACATGTTTTTTAACAATCTGTAATTTAATTGAGAATGTGGGGTGCACTCGGGAAGGGATTGAACTTAAAATACCTTTTTTCCTTTAGAAATGTTCAGTATAACTTTTTTTTGGTGGTTTGTGTCGGGGACCAGATGTATTTTAGAATTCACTATCATGGTCTAGTTAACAGCTGTGTAAAAGGAATTTGTTATTCAAGTGTGGAAGTGTAATACTGAAAAAAACTACAGTCTGTAAAATTGCTTCTTTGGAAGACCAAACAGAGATTCTAGACCACAAGTACTTAGTTCTCTAGACCGTTTTTGGTTTAGACAGTAATTACTATGCATAATAAATACTGGACTCCTAAATTTAAATTCCTGAATATTGATGATGTCCAAGCCCAGCCTATGCCTGGCTCATTTAACCCAGCAAAGTGAAGAAACTGTGTCACTTAGGACATCCCCAGGGTCAAACCCAGCAGAGGAGGGGAAGCTTTTGAAGCTCAGAGGTAAAATAGTGGAAGCATAAGTTGTTGTGAGCTCTTTGGGGATGAGTTTCAGCTGGAATGCTGGTGAGAACTGGAGGGAGGGAATGGCCCAGTAAGATTGACAGTGGTGAGAGACCTGAGGAACCTGTGGCAGGGACTGGGTGGCCTCATGTCCTGTGATAGCAGGAGATCATGATTTAGTGTCTCAGATGTTCCATTTCTGTTTATTTCCTTAATCATGACTGATGTTTACTTGGATGATTTTATCCTTAAACGTTTAGCTTTCCCCGTTCCCAGAAACTAGTGTTATGAGGTAGGTGTTGCTGAAAGTTTCCAGTCTTCTTTTTTGACTGATGCATGTTTATTTATTTGTTTTTGAAAGATTCAGGTGCAGGTTTCAGATGCCGTGCCTGTGCCATGGTAAAGAGTATTAGCCCATTGCTAACCAAGAAAAATGTGTCTCTAAATAACAGTGTATGCCATTCATGGTTTGGTTTGCTCTGTTTTACAGGTGGGAGTGAATCCTCCTGGGATAAAGAGAAGCTCCAGTCTCCCATTACGACGGGATCCCAGCACAGCATTGGCCATCCCACACTGTCAGGGCAGTCGAGCCTTGGAAGTGCACACCCGCTCAGTCCTCTCCAGCAGAACCACCTGCTCACCAACAGTATGTACTGGGCTCTTACTGGGAAAAGAGAGTACCTGGAGCCCTGCTGGGGGCTGGGCTTGCCTTCCTTCCCAGCCTGGTGGAGGTGGGGAAGTGATGGGAGACACTGGAGCAATGGGAGGGTCAGTCCTCCCACTGTTTGCTGCACTTGTGCCTCGTGTCCAAGCCACTCTCTTGGAATAGTCACTCACTGCTGGGTTTGGGACTGTTAAATTGACATTTCCATGGCCTGGACTGAAGGGAAAAATAATCAAAGTTGCTTACAACTGTAGCTATGTTAGAAAATTCCATTCCAGATGAAAATGCTGACCACAAAATACAAATATGAGAGCAAGGAATAAATGCAAAATGACTAGTTAAAAGTGAGCAGGAGCAATCCCTCTGCCTTGTTTTGCCTTGTACCTGCCACATATGGGCAAGGTCATCCAGTGAACTCAGCTATCCAAAACAACTGGAATGAAATGACACAGTTTGGATTTGTAACTTAGAGCTCTCTTTAAAGCCACCTCTTTTCTTTCCCTTAGGAAGGGGGCAGGTGGGAAGTCAGCAGTTCCCCTTCTTTGTACTCAAAGAGGGAAGAAAAGGAAGGGAAATATATTCCAAAAAAGATGTTCAGGATTAATATTTTAAAAGTTATTGAGGAATAAAGTTAACTCTAACTGTTGATGATGGATGAAGAACAAAAAGCTTGTTACTTCTGAACTCTTGTTACTTGTTTAAGCTTTTCATCCTCAAAGTTATGAAAGTTGATTTTTAGTGTTAGTTTTAGTGGAGTAATGAGATTTCTGACCCCTTACACAATTTTAGGAGCAGTTAGTTCCTTGCTACCTCTGTCGGGCCCCAGACATGAACAAATCAGAGTTATTGAAATGACTCCTCTAAGAAGGGCCTGCTTTGTGCATGGGAAGGTGTGGACCTGAGTATTTTGGGTTAGGAGTCAGTAGCTAAAAATCACCAGGTCATAGGACTCAAATTCACTGTAGTTTAACCTTTCCTTTTATATTCTTGCATAATTCAGCACCTAAGTATGTTTTACATACAGGCATATTGTGTTCTTTGCTCCTAGAGGTATTTTCTAGTAGGTATTTTGTAGTAGGCTGGTGTCTATAGGCTGTTAAAGGCTTTATTGAATGTCAGACATTATGCCCAATGATTTGCAAGTGCAGGATGTATTTTCCTCATAGTCCTCTGAAATGTTTGACGGATTGTGTCTTAAAACTGGTGATGTGCTGTTAAATTCTGTTTGTAGTTTGCATTTAGTTTGCATGTCAATTGGACTTTAAGTAGACATACAACTCAATGTGGCCAGATGGTGTCTGGGAGTTTTGGAACTCTATAGAGGATGAGGGAAGATTATTGGGCTGTTAAGGGAGATCTGCAGGGGAACAAAGGCTTATGGATGCAGACACTGTCAGTGTGGTTTGAAGGGAAGGGAGATGGATGTGGGCTTTGCTTATTGCCTATCATAATTAATATTGGCCTGGATCATCATATAAAATATACAGTGGATCATTAGACATCACAGTTGTTGATCATGGTATAGTCATGTTAAACAGAAATAGTTTGGGAGCTCAGGATGCTGCAGTTCTGCCTTTCCTGGTGGGCACTGTGGTGTTTTTATACCACTGTAGTCAAATTATATAGGAATAACATAAGCTGTGTCAGTCACTGGTAATTTTTATTGTTAGTTTTGTCATACACCAAATTGGGGAGTGGACTTTTCATTTCAAATAGTTAAGATAGAGCCAAAAGTTAAAACCCTTTTAGCAGTGATTAATGTGAATAGCATGTGGTTATAATTAGCTATATGTTTGTGTTATTTAATACTCGCCTCTGAATTTCTAAATGAGAATTTCTGATCTAAATTTCATTTAGAAATATGATAGGACATTTTGTCTGGCAAAATGAGCCCTATTTTTATTCTGAAAAAATAATTTTGGGTGCCCAAAAGTAGCTATCCTAAAGTGGTCCCTCTAAAGAACTCTCAAATGCACAATAACCTGAAACAATTTTTTTTCAGTGAATTGGTGTCTTGGTCTTGCTTTCCATTGCTGTCATTACTAAATACAAGAAGTAATACACATGCTGAAATGGATATTAATGAAGTATGAGAATCCAATTCTTGCTAGCAGTAACTTCACCTTTTTGGCAATGTCAAGATCTCCAAGTTGGTCCAAATGAATTTCACACCTTCTTAAATTGGTTTATAACCATAGCAGAAGACAATTTAAAGTGACATCCTGAAAATTAAAACCTCTGGCAACAATTTTAACCTTTCATTACATGTTCCAGATCACAGACCTTCTGTACAATAGTTCACTAGTGTCTGTAGTCCAACCCACACCTTCCTGGATTCAAGAAATAGGCCTAATATAACAATCTGGTCTCAGATTGCTGTATGTGAACTGAGGACTTGGTAGGAGTGTATGATCAGCTAAAATTATTAATAAATACTCATCTGATGTATTGGAAAACATGCAAATTTTATGTTTTGTGGGGGTTTTGTCTTTATTTCACTTAACAAAGAGATCACTGAACTTGTGCACTGTTATATATTTATTTAAATATGGCTTCCCCAATACAAACTCACTTTCTTTCCCCAATACAAGCCAGCCTTTCTTGGAATGCAAAGGCAACCATTCCCTGAGAAGCATCAAAATTCCAAACACATGATGATGCCGAGTTTGACCAGTCAGTGTTCCAGTGGAACGTGGGCTGTGGAAAGGGAGGTGGTGGGATGTGAAACGAGTGACTGACCCAGGCCCTGCCCCTGCTGTTTTCCAGGGATAGACCTGCCGTTCATGATGATGCCGCACCCCCTGCTCCCCGTCAGCCTCCCCCCCGCCTCCGTGGCCATGGCCATGAACCAGATGAACCACCTCAACACCATTGCCAACATGGCAGCAGCTGCACAGATGCACAGCCCCCTCTCCAGGGCAGGGGCCTCTGTCATAAAGGTAAGTCAGACTTTAAAAAAAACCCCAGCTCTTTGTGGCTTACACAAAAGCATTTACGGTGATTTTCTCCTGGATGATAACGAAGAGGCAGCGAGTTTGTGCTGCCTGCAGCTCACCTGGTGTGCTGCTCCTGGGAGTGCCTCAGGCTGGGGAAATGCCCACCACAACAGCCAAGGAGTTCAGCTGCTCTGATCTATCAGTAAACCTGTAATGTAATTAGAAATGGATACTAACACTCTCTGGAGGCGAGAGGAAGATCTGTGCTGCATCTGTGAAAGCTCAAAAACCATTCTGAAGTGTTGTTTAAAATCAAACTTAATGTTATACTTCTTATCATCCATGTATCTGCAGAGTTGTTCACGGGAGAAGGAAAAAGTGCTATCTCTGATGTTCAGCTGTCCATCAGTTAGTGCAAGTACCTAAACTGTTCGAAATTAGTTGAGGTTCTATTCATTTCACTCTGTAACCTTGTCTTTACCTGTTCAGAGACCTCATGAGAAAACCATAACTGAAATGCAGCAGTGGAATATTTGTAGCAGCAAGTAGACTTCAGAAGCTTTTTGATTACATTTTAAATGCTATCAGTATGTGAAAATGAAGATTAAATCTGTATTTGTAAGCAATGCCAGTTCTTTGTAATTTAAACTACAGGTTTTGCAAGCAATTTGGTTGCAGGGTGTTATTTTGCAGGCCCTTGCTGATGTGAGTTTCTCATTTACAGCTATTTTTGTCCAACACCTGCACTAGAGGATACACAATATCTCCACAGCAACAGTAGGTTTGGCCAGCACTCTGGTGGGATTTATTTCCTCTCCATGTTGTAGAGGAAAATGCACCAGTAGGTGACGTGCCAGAGGTGGAGTGTGGATCCAGTGCTGTGTTACTCTCACCTGTCAAGTGATGCTGCATCTTCCTCTTGTTTGTTCTGAGTGCTGAACCTGTAGATGGATTTCATTACAGTGTGAGGCTCCTTTTGTCCTTTCCTTCCCTTAAGTGCAGTCAGCCAGCGCTGAATGATGTCAGTTAACATGAAATCCTTGTACAAAATGAAACATGTAAAAGAAAAGCATTGCTGCTGCTGCTGCTCAGTGATATTACTTTTATTACAGGATATTATATAAGTGCATTTAAAAAGTACAAAAAATGACTAGTTTTCAATCCCAGTATCATGTTGTTACTTAAAATGGGAGAAATGAATCAAATATATTGAGTGTGTATCTGTTTCCACACTCTGATGACTAAAATACCACTTGGCCTGTTTTCTATAGGTGTGAGAATCAGCTGCTTTATAAAGGTTTTGAATGAAGTCATTATGCTTTTTATATCACGTTTGCCATTTAGAAATAAGCTGTTCTACCAAGATATGCATGATCAGCAAAGTTAACATTTAGTGCTCCAGAAAGAAATGTCATAACTATGAAACTTGATTTCTTCCTGACAGGAACACTATAAATTAGGGAGGCACAATGGCCAGGCTCACAAAACTTCCTTAGCCATCTATTACATGATGTGATGTGATTACAGCAGCACCCACCAGCAGCACTGTGGCTGCAGTTCTGGCAGTTTCTCTGGGATAAATCAGGGATTTACTTTCAGGGATTTACTGTGCATCTGAAGGAGTTTGCTTTGTTGGAAACTTGGCTCAGAAGAATCTGTGTAATTGAGAGTCTCATATGGCAAGAGCAAAATCTCACAGTAATACCGACTTCCCCACCCTCTCTCTTCTCCCTCTTGTGCCTGCTGTCCTGTTAGTTCTTTTTTTTTCTGGAGCTGTTCTTCAGCTAGATGTACTCTGCAGTCCAGTTACTGGCTCAGATGTCAAATGGGGACCAGTCTGGGCTGGAACTTACCTGAACTGCACTTAAGTCATGGTTTAGGCTCAAAAGAGCATTGAATGTTCAAGGGCAGGTTGGATGGGGCTCTGAGCAACCTGATGTAGTGAGTGGCATCCCTGCCCATGGCAGGGGGTTGGAACTAGGTGATCTGTAAGGTCCTTTCCAACCCAAACCAGTCTGTGATTCTGGGAGTAAGTGTAGCAGTTTACTGTGCTCCAGTAATTTTGTTGCTGAAACTCAGGAAAATCTACTCAATAACAATATTTTTAGGTCTTCAAAAGCAAAGTTGAGAGGAGCCACTTTCCCAGCTGTCCTTGGAAACAGGCTGGTAGGAGATAACTCTGGCCAGACTGGGTTTGAAATTGAGGGAACCAAACCCAAACCAAGGGCCTTTAAACTGCTCCCTGTTGTGTTGGATACAAAAAGGATACTGAGAGTAATGAGGCAAAATTTTATCCCAGGGATTTGAGACTCTTTTACTCTTCTTTCCAAAATTTTCCTTGCTTTTTGTTCTATTCACCCCACATATTTTGGGCATTCCTTGCTCCTCTTGCTCACATCTCAGGCTCCTCTTCCTCCATCTCTCCTTGTGCTCCCTCCCTTCCCTTCTGGCCAGCAGCCTCTTTGGGGCTGCTGAGGGATGTGCTGCTCCAGAGTAGGAGTAGTTCTGAAAATTGGTTTCCTGCTGTCCATTTTTCTTCTCTTGTCATCCCCTCATGCTTGCTGTGTTCCTACTTTTCTCTTACTCTTTCTGCTCTTATCCAGGTCTCAGTTAGGAGTTAAATGGCACTTTTGTTGAATGCAGCTGGGAAACCCAGAGGAAAAAAAATAAAAAATAAATGTAATTGAGATGCTTTGTATCAAAAACACTCCACAAAATAAAGTTTTTTATTTTTTTTTATTTCAGAATTCTTTCAGAATTTGACCCCAGTGTACCTTAGAAACAAGTCTGATAGAACAAAGCAATAATAGTACAGTGGGATCCAGACAAGCAGTAGAGATTTTTGAATCTCTTTCTCTTTGAGTTCTGTTTTTCTCCTGATTTTGTGGGATTGTTTAGGCATTTGTAAAGGATGTATATGACATGATTTAAAATTCCCTAAAGAGAATACAGATGGGCTGTGTAATTATTGCTGAGAGGTGCTATTTTCTGTGTGCTGTACAACTCACATTCATAACATTTACCTGACAGCCAGAAAAATGTGGCCATCTCAGAATACTCTGAAACAATTCTTCTCAGAGTAGAAGCACTTCCCATTACAGAATTTGTAACATCTTTAATTTCACATCTCTCTGTGCATTCAGTCCATTATGAATTGTTTTCAGAATATTACAGCATTTATAAAATTAAACTTCTGTACAGTGTACGTTCTTTTTCTCATTATTAGATTTATTCTGCCCTGTTTCACAGCACATGTTCATTGCTGGCAGCTTGTTGCTGAAATGGGACTGGAATGTGTTAGAGACAGAGGAGTTTGTTTGCTTCTTATAAGGTTAATTTTTGTGGCTGTATTTGAGGTGATGGAGAAGGGAGTGTGCAGGTTTATATCCTTTTATTCACTGATTCAGGGAAACTGCTCTGTTTGGAGATGTTCAGATCCCTTCAAGTTGTATTAAATGCCCTTCTCATCTCCTCCTTTGGAGGGAGGCATATCCTTCTCCCTGCAGTGCCAAGAATACCTGGCTCCTTACTACCCACACACCTCGTTTATAGGTTTTAAGCATTGAATACTTACTTCAAACTTCCAAGTGGAAAAAAGCAACGGTAAGAAACAGATATCCCTTTTTTTGCAGAGCTTGCAAGGGGAAATTGTTAGGCCAAGCACATATTAGCTCTTAGTTCTGGCTCAGATCTTTTTAGTATTGGCTTAGTCATTTGCATTTGTCCTTAATAACTAATATAAGCTCTGAGGTAGATGAGATACAGCGTTATCATCATTAGTCCTGGGAGTGCCTTTCCTCCATTCCACAGCAGCACTGGGTGAAAGGATTCATAGAAGGGGTAGAAGCACAAAGTTCCCAGTGGGGATCCTTTCCAGTTTTTTACTCACTGTTGTGCTTTCGGGTTCAAAGTAAAATGCAAAGGTAAGATCTGAATACACAGCTGAAGGTTGTCCCACTGACTGCTAATTTAAGAAATGGGGAAGAAGGCAAGCTCCTGTTTGGCTGTTTCCCAACACCATCTGATTAGCTGCAGTTCTCTGTTTGGCTGAGCAGCTGGCAATTAATGGATTGATAGGAAGTAGTCACGAGGTAATGGGATTAGTGAGTGAACATCTGGTATTAAAATCAGCAAATGTAGGAGAGTTTTTATGATTTCTTAAATTCGGTGGGAAAATAATTGCCAGTTGACTACAACTGAAACAACTCTATGTACACCGTGCAAAAAACTCGCATTTTAAATGGCAAAGTACATATTTTAGGCGAGTGACTTCCCGATACACTGCAAAAGATGAATGGGATCCAGCTGGCTTTCAGACACCCAGATCCTATCTTAGTTTTTAGACCAGCTGTTTACCTTGCTCATCTCCAGTTCCTGCAGCAATCAGATATAAGTAGCTCAGAAGACCAACAAGTCACCCATCGTTTGTGTGTGCTCATTTCCGGGCTGAAATGATCCAAAATACAAACCAAACCACTCTTCTCTAGCCCAGAAACAGTGACTGACCATCCTGTTTCTTGCTGGCCACTGCCCAGCATCAGTTTGGGTGTAGCACAGCTCCTGCTCACTGTGTCAGGATTATTCTTTTTCTTGGAAAAGCCTAAATTTCAGTTATATGTTGCTTTTCTCCATAATACATGAGTTAAGGACTGTAAACTTTAGAACACTGTTAAAAATGTACTTGTTATTAGAATTCAAATAGTATCAACTAAGGTCAATTGGAAAGAAATCTGTGTTAGTATTAACTTAAAAAAAATAAGTGTTAGCAATTCAGTTCTTTGCTAACTGAAATAGTGAATTGTGTTAACTTTTCTTATTCTTCTCACTTATTGAGGGTGGAATTGAGCCAGGGAGGTGGGAACAGCGTGGAATTGTGGTTGAAGGTGAAGGAGGCTGCAGCCAGTCTGCTGCTCCTGCTTCACAGACACTTCCAGACAAACCTCCTGGCTTGTAGAATTTGTCTGTAACTGTGCTGTCCACTCTGAGAATATGAATGGTGATTTGGCAGTGAATTTGGTAGAGTTCAGCCCATGAACTCTGTTTTTCCAACATGGCCATCAACTCAAAATCTTTCTCACAATACTTGAAAACCCTAATCTAGACCTAAAACCAGCAGAATCCCCATTTTTCCTTCCTTTCCATTTTCCATTCCACTGCAGAACCTTGTAAAGTAGAGCAGCAGCACCTCAATTAAATATGAAATATTGAGATAAATGTCTGAATAAAATATCCAGGATTCAGTCAAACTTCCCAAACCTGCTTGTCAGCAGTGAAATGCCATTAAATCCTCTAGGAACTCATTAATAGATTAACATTTGGAAGAGTAATTACAGCTACATTAGAACTAAGAATAATGAAAAATAAAGGAAAATCCAGCAGCATCATTTCTCTAAATTCTTGACATAAAATGAAGATCAATACTATAAAAAAATCAGAGGTAAGGAATTAAGGTCAAGATGATTATGTCAAAAATAGGTAAGCTGTTCATATATATTTCAAATAAAACTAGTGTGGATGCAACTGTTATGTAGTGTTTCATATTATTTGTGTGGAATACCACCTCACAGGGGATAGAAAAGGGGATATTGAGGTGAAATCAAGGATGTATCTGGAAATTGGGTGACTTGATGACTTCAGAGCCGTTAACCTAAATCACAACTAAAATTAACAATGTCAAGCTTTGTAGCTACATTTTCTGAGGCAGAGCAAGACACTGATCTTTAGTGAGACAAATATATTACCCTTCAAGAGAATTAAATACTGCAAAAGTCCTTTTACAGAATTTATGTTATAGCTCTGTAAAGGAAAGAAAAAAGATAAGATAAAGTAGGTACTATAGGTAGATAAATAGGTGAGATCTTGAGAAATGTTTTCATTTTTCATAAAATTCTCACAATATGTACATTTTTTATGTATAATTCATTAAATTATAACCTGGAATATGAATCTTGCAAATTTATGAATAGGAAAAAATAGAAATGGAGAAAATACTACTTTTTTTAGGAATGCTTCTCCGTTACTGTGAGTTTACCTGGTATGGAACCAGACTGGGGAGAATGGAGCCATTTTCAAGAGGAAAAATAATAAAATATACGAAAAGTAGCGAGGTTGTAAAATACACAGATGACAAATAAAATGAAGTCATCAATGTGTAAAAAAAAAAAGTTTAGGTTTGAGATTTGCAATTTTCCTATTTAAATACCCTCATTGATTTGTTACAAATACTGTTAACCCTGTGTTTGGAAAATGGTGAGGACATTATCACTTGTGTTCTCATTTGTAATAAAATAGATTAACTTGCTGTGAAATTTTAACTAGGCTGAGACACAACAGTAGCTACCTAATGAACCAGAGCACATTGCTGTTAAGTAGCTAAATAGATGCATACTGATTACAGGACTGAAAAATGGAGCTGTTTACCAGCAAAAGAAGAGTCTGTTCATGGTGTTATTCATTATGGGAGGGGGAATTCAGCACCACATTTCTACACAAATGTTTAGACATAGACAATTTCTTGTTCCATGTGCAGTCTCACATGGTGATACCTCACCCTCATTTATAGTACATATGATACAGACAAAATTTCAGCTCCTTTGTTGCTTATAGGGAAAAGTGTGTTTTCCCCGTGTGTGTACATTTGTGTAACTGGTAAAACATTAGATTACATGATCAACCAGTTCTCTTAGAAAGTGATTGACTGTGTGATTAAGAATGACATTATTATTTGACACTTTTATTTCTGCATGAACATTTTGAACCAAGGCCCTGAGTTTGAAGGCAAATTCCTCGAAGCAGAGATTGTTTTACAGGGAGAGACACTGGGAAATGCAGTTACCAGAAGGAGCTCGAATACTTTGCTTTTCCAAATCATCAGCTTTTGAATTACTCAAATAACTCCCATTTAAGATGACATATATGGCTGTTTGTGTGATATCTAAGTGTTAATTCATAGTCATATTTGTTCATAGGGTTTTTTTGCAGAACAGTTGGCATGTCCTCTCCTTGGCCATTCATTTTCATGGTTGCAATAGACAATGAAATTTACTTAAACTATGCACTCTTCTGTAAAATTAATCATTTCAAAATGATACCTTAATTGGAAATTGAGTGCTCTTTGTGGTAAAAGGAGAGGAAATAGTGCCAAAGAGGACTGTTAAACTGAAATCCAGGCAAATGAAATTACAGTAGCCTGTTAGCAGGAACCTATTTGGAAGCTATTATTTACAGGAAGCCAAAAGAAATATAGGATTTATATGCTCAGGATTGCATGTATAGGATTCATCGTGATTTAGGGCAATACTTCTTGGGTTAAGAATGTGACTTTTAAAAGCAATTTAGTCAGCAGCCACAGAGAAAGTCCTGTCTCTCTTTTCTGTTCATCTCAGCAGCCTCTAAACCCTCTCTTTTTGAAGCTGAGATGAAGAAAGCACAGCAGACTTTTAAGATCACCAGAATTTGAGAACTTGTTTGTATAAACCTGTTAAGTTTTCAAAATTTGAAAAACTTGTGACTCTACATAATAGACCCATATCTGTTAAGTATTAGCATTCAAAAATGCCTCAGTTAAAAGTCTCCCTTAGAGATTTATTAGTTATTGTATGTTCATTAAATAACAGATAATGAGTGGAACTGATCCATTGAGATTTAACAGCTATGTAATAGATACATGTTATGTGATTTTGAGGTTCAGTTGTTATTTAAGGTACAATAACTATCCTTTTAAAACTACACCCAATGCTCAGCTGGCGTGGTTGGAATAGGGAAATGCCCTCCCAGGCTATGAGGAAGATCCAATCTCACCTTCCCTTTGTGTCACTCTCAAATCTCTCTGTAAATACAAAGGTGAGTGTGGCCTAAAGAGGTGGTTTTAATGGGTAATAGAATATTCTTGTTGATCTTGCTGCCAGTGTAATTAATGAATTGCCCCAGTATGTTCCAAACAGCAGCTTTTATATCAGACATTTCTAATGGAAAAACTATTAGAAACCACCATTCTCTTCCCAAAGCTACGTTATTGATTTAGGATACTGTCTAGCAAACTGCATAAAAAGTTCAGATGCTACTGAGTTTGTTTTCCAAAGCCCACAGTAAATCACCACCAAGCTGCCAGATTGCACTTTCCTAGTGAAACATCTCTAGAACGGGTTAGAAAGGAGGAAAAATGGCAAAGTTCTTTTGAGACAGCTTTCCCAGATTACACTGAAATGGTGATTTTTAATGAGATGGGGGCAAGAAAATCTCCCTTTTTTAGTAAAAGAAAGTAATACTTCAGTTCTGAGTTTCCACAAGGAGCAGTTGATTGTGAGGGATGGGGCAGTTTCTGGAGTTCTGTAAATTCGACCATCTCCTCGTTCGTGTCTGTCCCTTGGAACTGCACCTTCAAGGTTTAAAACACAGAAGGGATTCTAAGATAAAAATATCTGGAGTATCTCAGGCCAGAAGATTCTCATTTTTTGTTGGTCCTGGGAACAGGAATGAAGGGTACTGGACTTTTTAACTAATTCAGAAAAACTATATATGTGGAAACAGAGTTGGAAGGGATCTCAAGTGCTCTTACAATCTCTTGCCTTAAGACAGGATGAATTATTACTTATACCACACTTGCCTAACCTGTTCCTAAAGATTTTTACTGATGAAAATTCCATGGCATCTTCAGATAATTTACCAGTATAGATACACAGAACTGCAGAATTTCATTTTGCTCTTTTTTTTTTTAAATTTCTTGTCCTTTTTTTTCTCCCTACCTCAAGTGCTATGTATATTTAAATTAGAGGTTAATATCAAAGTTTCATGTACAAATACACAGACAAGAATTTGCAAGCACACTCTTACTTTGGTTACCCAGTGGTGCTTTTCATGCAAAATTGAAGTTCTTACCAGTGCCTCAGCTTTTATCATTTGTCTGGGTGCTACCCTGGGAAGGTATTGATGTAATTTATTTAGATAGAGATTCTGGTGACTTTACAAATTTGACTGCATTTTAGTGACAGTTTAACACAACTCTGAGTTGTTCATTTGAAATGTGACTCGTATATGCCAATGTTACTACCTGGTAGATCAAAAGTAGCTTGTGAAGGCAACATGAAAGAATATTTTGTATGTTCTTATGTGTGGAAAAGTTAGAAAATAAAAAGTTACCAACAAAAAGAAAAGGTGGCAAAAATGATTAGCAAGCTCAGACACAGGTAACTGTGCATCTCTTTAGATGAGAGTTCTGTTCACTGTTGATCTCAGAAAGACCATTTGTTCTTGTTATTTTAAACCAACTTCATTTTTTTTCAGTGAAGTCCATGAATTGAATGGCACAGACCTTGTTTTGTTTGTGTTTGAAGGAAAGGATCCAGGACAGCCCCTCTCCAGCCCCGTCCCTGGAGGACAGCCAGCGCCCCGGGAGCCACCCGTCCTCCCACCAGAGCAGCAGCGTGTCCAGCTCCCCGTCCCAGCTGGACAACACCCCCGACAGAATTGGTCAGTGCCCTGCAGCTCACAGGAATCTCAGCAACTCAGGGAGTTTGTTGAGGCAAATATTTGTTTGCTTGGATGCTCAGGAAAGCACTCACTTGCTAAGAAATAGCCAGCAAGTGCATCACTGTAGTTTGTTTCATTAAGTTCATGGCTATGCAAAGCCCAGCCCCTCACATTCCTCCTGTACCAGTCTCCACCCATGCCCAGAAGGCATCACTGTGGCACAACCAGCTCCTCTGCCGTGCCTGGGTGTGACAGCGCTGCTGAAGGCACCTGGAATTCAAAAAGAGCAAGATATCTTTTTCTTCATATGGATGTGAGGAAAGTCACATTATTGATGACCTTCTCCTTCCAAAAACCTCCCTGTGCCCACACATTCCCTCATCACCCCGAGGCTGAGGGCTTTCTGATTTTTTGGTGTCTCCAGCGCAGCTTTCACAGCCTGTGCACTATCAAAATGCCATTTAAAATGCTAATTCAGTCTAGAGGAAGTTTAGATCCTATTCTTGGTGCTTCCAAGAGAGATCTAGGGCAAGTCAATTAACGTCTCTTCACGTCAGTTTGTGTCAACACCGTTCTCCTCTCAGGGCCTGGAGCCCATGCAGGCATTGCTGAGCTAGATGTAAACTGCAGAAACAGTCCATGTAAGTCAGTGCAGACTTCACTCCCATCCAGTAACCACTCAGCTGCTCCCTGGGATTTTGCAGTTCTGACTCTGGTCCCTGCAGCAACACCACAGCACAGCTGGCTCTACACAGAGTGGCCAGTGGAACCTGAATTCTTTGCCTAAACACGTGCACACACAGGGTAGAGACTAGAAAGTAGATTCTCCTCAGCTTTTTCAAATCTAAAATAGTGCTGGAATTACACAGGACAAGATGTAACTTCCTGTTGCAGCAGTGAAAAAGGGACTTTTGATGTCTCTTTGTCAAGGTTTAGTGCTCACTGTTGTAAAAGATACATATACATACTTTCTATCAATATAAATACATAAGTTTTTACTTTTGCAACTGAAAAAAAAGCTTTCCCTAAAATATGGTGATGAAATTTGTAACAAGTGTCCTCACTGGAATAACTCTAAAGTCTGTCATTGGTTGACTGCAGAGAAGGAAGTGTTTTAGTCAAATTAAGAACAAAGAAAACAGGAATCTTGAAATTATAAACCTCACACCTCTCACTGATCCTGCACATATTAAATAAAGAATTTCCTTGAGCATGACAGTGTATTGGGTTTTTACTGTTACCTGTCAGTTTGGGGTACAGTCTGTCAATTGGTGGATTTTATTAATCTTGTTGCTTTATAAATAATATTAATACTTAAATCCTTAAATGTATTTTTGTGCAAATGGTTTCTGTGAAAGTACTTTTTTAATTAGTTAATTTGGACATTTAATAAGAAATTACATTCCTCTCAGTAGTAAGTTGGGTTCTGTCTTGGTATCTTTGTTTAATCCACTTGAGCAGATTTGCTTTTGCTGCATATTTTACTTGGCTCCAAGTGTTAAAATACCAAAACACTGACCAAGAGGAAATACAATTTAATATTTTCCTTTCTCCTAACAGTTTTACACTGACAGTGTTATGTAACTGTGCCCTCTGATTCTTGTAGCTATGCTGACCAACAACAGGGAAGGAGAACTCATTGACCAAGAAACTGGGACCAGCCTAAAAAAAGTACAAAAGGAGAAAGGTAAAATTACAGACTGTTTTCCATCTCGGGCATTTAATTACCCTTATTATGTGTTTTATTCCTTTTTCTAGTATTCTGCATATGCAATGACATTATATTATTAATTTAAGAGAACTAAGTGCCTAATTGCAATGAATAATGTATCCAGTGAATTTACATGAAAGTGTGAGCAATCAGAACTTCTCTGTTTATATAATATGAGGGTAATATTTTGCTGGTCTTTTGGCTCAATTATTTAAGAAGTTCCTAGCAAATATTTGATTAGTCACATGGTATTGTTTGTTTGCTTCCAGAGGGTGTGTGTGCAGAGTGCTCTAATGCTGTGGGTGAGGGAAATAAGCCATTTTTTGTGTCTAATAATATTATATTACCTCTCAAGTGGGAGGTAGCAAGGGAAAAAGTGATGTTTGGCCTGTAGGGATTGTCTGTAGGCAGGGATGTGTCTCCTCTGCTGGTTCTCTGCAGTCATTGTTGGGTACTGAAGAAGGTGGATACTCAGGTGTGAGCAGAAGCAGCAGCTGTTTTGTTTCCTTGTAAATATAATAAAAAAAATCAATCCTGTAAATAATGACAGGTTCATTCTGGCATTATGTACAGAAAGCGCCAGGCAAAATGTGTGCCTGCAAAAAAAAAGGAGATGGGATATAGTTAAAGAAATAAAGGAGAACTGAAGGTAAGTGAATACTGGATCAATATTACAGTGAGATACACTGAGGGAGATATGGAGGTTTTAGAGTGAAAAAGATGTAAAGGAAAAGAAAGAAAAGAAAGAGGAGGCAAAATAATCTAAATGTACTTGTAAGTCTGCTGCGAATGTTCATACTTAATCAGTTTGTTTTGAAAACAAACTGATTTATATTACAGTTGAGGTAATTTTCATGTATTTTCAGAGAAGAATAAAAAGGCAGGTACAGACAATTTTACGAGCTATTCAGAAGAGAATTTGGAGGCTTTACGTGCCCTGTGGTTCCAGAGTTATATAAAATTATTTGAGGAGCTTCATGATTTTGTACAGCAGCTCTGTTCCTTAAGAGATCTGTGTCTGATCCAGTCTTGGGTAGGAAGACTCTGAAACTTCCTCCTTATATTTTGTATTTCCACACTCAACTCTCCTTGAAGGCAGAAGAAGCTGTTTTCTATTCACTGGTTTCTCTGGGCATTTAAGCACTTTCCTTATGAACCCCAAAAGGGCCCTTTTGTGCCATTCTGAGATAATTTTCTTTCTGAATCATCATGCTTAAATCCTTCCCTCTTGACTCCTGTTGACATTTATGGACCAGCACCAGAGGTTACAGTTAACAGCCATACCTTCACTCCTAAGACTTAAAAATTACATTTCTGTGGTAATTACACGGTGAGTATTTAATCTAAATCTGAAAGTGTAGTTGATTTTAATTTTGTTGAACTGTGCCTGGGTTCTTGCCACATGTTCAGTCATTTTTCAGCGAAACAATTCAATATCCTTTGGGGTTCAAAGATGCAAATCGTGTAGTTATTGGTAGTAGCAGTTCTGCCACTCAGGATGGATGAAGGAAGGCACAGTTTAAGAATCTGAAAAGATAATTCAGAAATCCTCAAAAGCGTGAAAATAATTGAACCCCCACCACCTGTGATCCCAATTCCCAGGCTCCTGAGATCACTGAGTATTCTTGTAACATGGATAAAATCACAAAGATCTGATGCTGACAATTTGTGTACCATAAATCACCTTAAGATTGAAGTTGTATAGGTTTATTCATTTCCTGGTCTACATTTTTGCATAGTATTACCTTTCTTTAATTGATTAGGTACTGGGAAATACATCTTTATACATGTGTTAGTTCTGCATGCACTTAGGGCATATTTTCGGGATTAGTTTAGTGTTCAGAGACTCACCTGCGTCAGAAAAAAGGGCTTCGAAATCATGAGATGTGTTAGAGTATGTTTAAGGATAGAATAAAGTTTCTGCTTTTCTGCTTGGTCTGCACAGGTCAAGAATGAGAAATTATTTATTTTTGTCAAGTAAAGAAGTGATTTTCAAGTAATCCCACAGCTCCAGAACCTGAACCTTTTCGTGGTGTTCCAGTGGGAAAAATGCTGAAATTTTAAAGGCACCAACAGTGTATATCCAGCAATTCCAAGCTGATTTTGCATTTGGCAGTGTGGCAGACCTGTATTGCTGTAGGAATTTATGTTTTATAGGATATGGGCACCCAGTAACTGAAGGAAATGCACGAGTAGGACAGTCAGAACTCAGCTCTTACAGTCCCTAACCAGTGTGTGCTGGGCCCTTCTGTCACCCCACACCACTGGGGTTATTCCTCAAGGATTTGTCTGACTCCTGTATAGATTCCTTGTTCCCAGTACTATTATTATTCTCTCGTGGGTTATTATTTTGGGCTCTGGTGCTCCTCAGTTATGTTGAATTGTAGAGTCAGCTGTGGACAGTCACTGAAGAGTGTGATCTGTGCTGCCCTGCTCTGCAAAAAATATACCTGTAATTTGTATACAGAGCAAGCTTTGTTTTTCCAAACCTGCCATTACTTTTACTAAGGCAAAATATATTTACCATGGAAAAGATTTTCAAAGTTATTAAGAAGGAATGTAGTTAAAATAAAAGTATCAACATTTATTAAGTATGACAAGTAAGCGGTTTATACAACCGTGGCAAACATATGTTTTCACATCTGTTTTGAGTAATATCATCATGATTTTAAAAATGATTTATAGCTCTGCAGGCCATAAAATGCCAGCTTTGCTGTAAGTTGGAAGTTTTCAAACAACAAAGAAATTATTGAAGGCATATATTGAACATGTTTTTGTATTATACACCTTGACATAACTTTTAGAAAGCTAAGCTCTCTGTAACAATTAAGGTAGCAACAATTAAAAATTAAGTAACTACAATTTATCAGCAGCACTACCCATGTGAAATCTTAGCATAAAAATGATAAAGATTGTAGTGATTATAGACAAATACTGTGATATCCCTCAGGATACTCAGTTTTTGTTTTCCATGTCCCATTTTGAGTGATCTCGGCACCAGACAAAAATGTGCCACTTTGTTCTCATCAAATAATTTCAAGGTAATTAGGGCTGAAGAGAATATGCCTTAATAATAGTTCTTCTTTAAAAAACAGTTCATGTGAGGCTGTTCCAATTGTGTTGATCTGTTTGCACATGTTGGTGGGGCAGAATTCCTAGAATTGGTGGCTGTCTGGGTGTAGAGGGGTTAGAACCCAATTACAGCCCATACCTTTAAGCTTTTTGAAGGAGAAATGTCATTAAATCTTAATTGCTCTGCATCCTTTCACTGTCTTTTTAGGAAATATGGTCAGGGTTAACATTAGAGGACAACAAAGTCAAACATCTTTGTAAGTTTGCAGTTGTTTTGTTTGGGCTTTTGATATAAAAATTACTTTTATGACATACCATACTATATTTTTGTGAAATTATGTCACACCAGCATTTTGCCTGTGCATCCTTGTTGAAGTGTGAATGAAAACCATATAAAGAGTAATCTGCACTTTATTTTGGAATCACTAGTGCAAGGAAACAGTTACAAAATCCCCCCCTCCCCAGGACACAGTCCCACGTTTCACCTGCACAATTACTCACAGAAACTGCATTTTGAATTCATCTGCTTCAGTATATATCCCGGAAAAAATCTGTATTGTATGGGAAAGGATTGTGTTTGACACAGCCCAGTGTAGGCTTTACGGAAACCTCCATATAAATTCTGGCATTAGGAAGGTGAAATGAGCCAGAAAAGAATTTGGCCGTGCCTTCCAGCTGGATTTAGATGCTGGTACAATTATTCTGTTTGACTGCATGACAAGAAATATTTCAGACTCCTAACACAGGCTGGAGCAGTAAAAGGCACTGGCCCAGCTCTTGCCACAGTGAAATCAATGGGGATGTTCATGGTGTCTCCAATGGGAACAGTTTAGCCAAAGTCTGATCCTTTGGAACCTGCTCCCCCAACTAATACTGCTGGTTATCCAGACATGGACAACGTGGTCACGTTGGGTGCTGTGCTCCACCCTAAGCAAAGCAGAGTAAAGTTTCGTATGAAAATGTCATTAATGACCCACTGTTCAAGCAGTGTTTGAGTAGAAATAAAGATTATATTTGCAGAGAAAGTGACTTGCTCTGCATTTCCCAGCGATGATGTCTCCTCCTTTAGTCCAGTTATCTGCATCTCCAGACGACAAATCCAGGCTCCAGGGCTGTGTCCCGTGTTTCAGTAGATTGTAGTTCCCAACCTCTGCATCTGGCAACTCTCCCTTCCCTGTTTATTACAGAACACCTTTCCCTTTATTGCTTCAAGGAGAGGGGAATTTTGCATCATTGCTGTCAGCTGAGTGAAATATTTTCAGCTGGCCATAGACTACAGTAATGAAAGAATAACAGGATTTATTTATTGTATTTCATTAGTGGAAAAGAGGTTTTATGCTGTTTAAATTAAGCATTGCCAAAGGACCGGGTTACTCAGGATGTGAGGGGAGGGGAACGAGCAGGTGCAGAACACCTGAAACAGCACCAGGCCCTGTGGAGGGGGCTGTGCTCCAGAGAGAGGACTTTCCCAACAATTAATCTGAAAGCATCCAGATGGAGAGGGAAAGGAGTAAGGAAGAGAACAAGGAGCTCAGAGCTGTACCAAGCAGCCTCTATGCAAAGTGTGCGATAGGTGCCAACACTTCAAATGCTCCCCAGGCTGTTCCCTTGACGTATCAATTCTTGCATGTTAAAGATATAATGAGAAAAAGGCAACTTTTTTCACAAATGTGTTCATGAGTCTCCTCTTGACATATATAAAAAACTCCCAAAACTAGAAGTGAAGTTCTGATTCATTCTGTTTTCTGAGTGTCTATGTTGGAGACCCTGGGGTTGTTTCATCAGCAGTGGATGCAATAATACACAAGTTTAAGGGTTGCAAGGGTTTCTTTTTCCTAAAACCTTAAGTGACATACACAGTGGAAATGAAAATAATTCAGAGATATTTTTACATTTTCTATCCA